TTAATCTGTGTCTTTTCACTGGGGAGTTGAGACCATTAGCATTCAGTGTTAGTATGGATATGTGTTTGTGGTTTCCTGCCATTTTAAATTTTTTTTTGCTGTATTTTAGCCATTCTTGATTCTCACTTAGTGGCTTTTTATTCTATTGTTTGTTCTCTGTTTGAGGGCTTTGGAAATTATCTTTTAGTTTCTCTGTGTGAAGTTTATCTTTGGATATTCTTTATAGTGCTGGTTTGGTATTCATGAATTGTTTTAGTTCACTCTTATTGTGGAATATTTTAATTTCCCCCTTAAAATTGAAACTGAGTTTTGCTGGGTATAGTAACCTTGGCTGGCAGGTCTTTTCTTTTAGAGTTTGGAGCGGCTCATTCCAAGCCCTCCTTTATTTTAGGGTATGAGCAGAGAAATCAGAAATGGACCTTATTGATTTGCCTCTAAATGTGACCTGATATTTCTCTCTGCAGCTTTTAATATTCTTTCCTTGTTTTCCATTTTAGGGATTTTGGTTATATGTCTCCACAAACTTCTCATTTGGCTGGGTCTATTTGGGGTCCTGTAAGCCTCCTGTTTGTGGTTGTCTATCTCGTTTCTGATATGTGATAGTTTTCTATAACTATCTCATTGAAAATGTTCTCTGTGCCTCTAGTTTGTATCTCCATGTTCTTTTCTATCCCAGTGATTCTCAGGTTCAGTCTCTTAAAGTTGTCCCAGTTTTCTGGTCATGTTCTGTTCATTTTTTTTCTTTATTATTTTTGGACTCAGGATCATATACCCTGTCCTCAGTGGCTAAAGTTCTGTGTTCAAGGGCTGAGGTTGGGTTTTCTACACCACCTGTTAGTGATGCCTTCAAGTGAGATTATAATTTGATTGATTTTGTGTTTAATTTCTGAGAGGTCTGCACGGTTTCTTTGCACTATCTCTATTTCTGTATTAAACATTTCCCTGTAATAATTGTTCTCTTATTTCTTCCTTAGATCTTCTTTTAGCTCATTGAACATTTTGATAGTTAGTTTTTAATAGTCTCCCTCTGGGTTTTCATCTGCCTCACTGTCAGTGAGATCCTTTGTTGGGGGATGTTGGATTTTGGGGGGACATTTGTCTGTCTGATTTCTCATGTTTTCAGAGGTCTTGGTCTTGTGCATCAATTTAAATGATTCCTCTACCTCTTTTTTTTTTTTTTCCGAGTGTCCTTTTGTGTGTAGTTATCTTATTTGTTCTGGGACGTCTTCCTGGTTTTTGATGTATGAGTAGATGCCAAGGGGTGGGACCTGAGTTCCCTCTCTGGTGGTTCCTCCTTGAGTTTTATTGTTGGTTTGGGGCTTTTGTCTCTTCATTTCTTGAGTTGGTGTAATGTCAGGGAATGTTTAGCAGCAGGGTCTCCAGCCTGTGCACTTTTAATGTCCTCAAAATATGGGAGAAAAATAAACAATAGTGACAACTATTGGAAACAACAGATAGTAAGCAGTGTTAAATACCCAGTTCCTATTATGAGTCTTAGACATTAATTGCCACCAATGAACAGGATTGGTGGGTTCAGCAGTTGTCAGCAGTGAAAACAATAACCATGAACGCTAGCCACAGCTTTAAAGGAAACAGCAGGTGTGAGCTATTTCACCATAGTGGCAGTGACTGTTTTAGCTTTAATGGTGGGGGCAGGGGTATATCAACCATTTAGTTCTGAATGATGTAGAAATGCAGTTAACTGGGGAGGAAAGGAAATGTGTTAGCACATTAGAGAAGACTTCACAATTTCAGAAAATGAACAGAGAAAATTCAGAATAGCATAGCAGGTGATATTATGTAGTGGGAGTGGAGAAAATCAAAGCCTGTATATGGAGAGAGAATGTTAGAATTTGGTGAATAGCAAAGGATAAGATATAAGAGAAATAAACACATGAAAATAAGATATAAGAGAAATAAACATATGAAAAATCAAAGTGAAATATTCAGTCTAATCTCTTATATCTTGTGAAGTCTTCTCTAATGTGCTAATAAGTAACACTGCTTACTACAGAACCCTCATAAGACAAAGCTAGAAAAAGACAATTACATTTTTAAAATGCTGAATATGAGAGAAAACATGACAAATAATGGTAATCTATCTGTCCCTGAAAGAGGACAGCAGAATTCACACGCTCATAGACACACACACAAATTCACACATGGGAGGAATAAGAAAAAAATAATTTTAAAAAATACATGTGTATTTTAAAAAAAGAAAAATATCCAATGTCTTAGTTGTAGACCAAAGTGACCTCCACCGAAATGGTCGAAATATTTGACCAGCATGGGTGGTCAGTGTCTGTTCAGTAGTCTTTCTCGTCTATTTTTCCTGAGTCAAGTACTAGTAGAACAGATACAGGGCCTTAACCCACGCTGTGGCTCTCTGAGCTGCCTGTGCACCTAGGATTGAAGCTGTGTGCCTTCCTCTATCCTGATAATTCCTAGATTTGGTATTTCAGGTTATCCCATAATTTTTGGAGGTTCTGTTCATGGATTCTTACCATCTTCACTGTGTGGTCAACTTTTTTAAGATTATACATTTGTCTTCATTTTGTGAGGTTCTGTCTTCCAAATGATCTAGTCTGTTGGTGATGCTTCTGTAATTTTGTAGTGTCCCTGCAGGTTACCAATACCTCATCTTTAAGAGGGAGATCAACATTTAGAGCACTCAAGGTGAATAGTATGCATCCTTAAACCATATAGGTTCTGTTTAGACAGTTATAGTTTTTTCACAATAAACAGAAGCGGTGAATTTGATTAATATCTATAATGAAATAGTAGGTTTGCGTCAGGGTCTGCAGTTTCTGATGGTAGAGAGCAGGGGCGGGTGGGAGGTGAGAATAGAGAGGTGTTAGCTCACAACAAGAGTGAAGGAGGATCAAGAGAAGCAGGCTCGCAGGGTGCCTCTGGTGAACCAAGCCTGCAGGGACCTTGGTGAGGGTCTTCCAGATTCTGGCTGTTGTTTTTAGATTGTAGCGAGCATGTCCCTCTTTGGTGGCAGCGGCAGTGTCAAGCCTTCCAGGCCCCTAGCCATTGTCCTAAGATGGAAGCTTCCCTGACTAAAGATGATGGTGGTGGCAGTGGAGGTGTCCCAAGATTGAGGTGATTGCTTTCACAGATGGGGCTGAGAGCGTAGTTCCTGCATTGGCCAGCAGCGCTCTGATGTGTAGTGCTGCAGCAGGCTGCTACCTCCAGGCCCTGTCCATTGTCCCAAGGTGGAGGCTAACACCTTGGAGGGGTTGCGCAGGTAGCTGCAGTGTCCCAAGATGGCAGCAGGTGGGAAAGCCATGCGTTGGTAGACGGGGCTACAGCATGGTCACTCTCCTCCACATGTACGTGTTCACTCCCAGGTTTATATGCTCACATTGACCTAATGTACTGGGGTGAATTCTGGTATGTGCTGTGGTTTAAGGGACTTCTAGATACACAGCAGAGAGATGAGCTGAGGTGATGTTTGTGTCCACACAAAAAAAGTGAGGTCTTGAATGAGGGATGTGCAGAGAAGGAGAGGAAGAAGACAGCAGGGTGTGGGGCAGGACAGACTCGAGGGTGAGACCTGGGTTCCACTTGGCTGAGGCCCCGGCCTTGCTGTGAAGGTTTCCCTAGCCTCCCTTTCTTGACTCCCCATTGGCATGATTATTTTAAGGTACATCTCCTAATGGGAACTACAATGGTAGTTACTACAGATATCAAATAGCCACAGGTGCACAGAATTCTTCTCTAGAACGCTTTTAGGAGATTGTTGTCGGGGCTTTTAGCCCCCCGTCTCCTCCTGACCAGCGGGAGACCCGTGAGGTGGGTAAGTGTACACACTTGAAAGAGTATAACAGTAATAGATGTAGAGTTTCTCACAGCGATGTAGTGACACTCTTCAGTAAGTTCAAGTTCCATGTAACACATGACTATTATAGGAATAGAACACGAGCCACACGTTTAATCAGAGTTTTTCTACTACCTACATGAAAATAACTTTAAAAACAGGCAAAATTATTTTGTTAACCCAGTGTATTTAAAATACTGCAATGTATGATCACTGTTTTTACAGTGAGATATTTTACTGCCCTTTTTTTGTACTACATCTTCACAATCTGGAGTGTATTTCACACAGCACATCAGACCAGCCATGTGTTGTGGAGCTCAGTAGACCCATATGCCTTGTGGGTGCTGTATTGGACAGCTCTGAACCTGTGTTGTGTTTATTGTTCCCTATAATTTCAGGTTTATAGTCAGTCTGCCGTACAATCATTTTAAATTATCTGGACTTTTGTGTCCTACTCCATTTCATCTATTTTGCCAGATAAGAGGTTCATTTTTATTTAGTCTAATCTTTTACCTTTTTTCTACTTCTCTGAGTTTAAAGTTTTCACTCTTGTAAAATCTAAATACTGAATTCTAATTGCTACTAGGTTTGCAGTCTTTAAATATTTGATTTCTGCATTTTGAGGGATTTATAATTTTACAAATGTATAATTTATAATATAAGATTCAATCATTTTAAAGAACATAATTCAGTGACTTTTTAAAAAATGTTATTTTCCACATTGTGTAACCATCTCCACAATTCTGATTCAGAACATTTTCATCACCCTACAAAGATCCCTTTTGCCAAGTTACAGATAATCCTGATTGACATCTCCAGACCCAGACAACTAATGGTCTTGTCTCTGTAGATTTGCCTTTTATAGACATTTCATAAAACAAAACTACATTTATTTGTCCAGTGACACCTATGGGGTTGAATGTGGTATGTGGTACAAATTTATCCTCGAAGTAAAACTTTGATTTATTTACTTTCTCATCATAAACTCTCCTGAAATATTAAATATTTCTTTAAAATCTTTCATATGATAATTCAAACCCCAAGAAGACACTAAAAAGTTATTGTTCTGTTTTTCACAGTTATTCTGATCAGTAATGATAATGATTGCATGCATATTGTAGAAGATTGATTTTTCAAGCACAGGAAAACAACCAATCAATTTTTTGGTATCTTTCAGACTCCAGGTCTAAGTGTGAGGTGAAGAAATTACCACCAAATCAGTGCAACAAATCTGGGCAAAGCAGCTGTCAGAAACCAGTTTCTACAAAACAAAAGGTTCCAACAGGGAGCAGGGGCTACAGCAAAAGTTCATTTCTAAGCAAACCCAAGAAAGGTAATTCAGGGAAGAAAGCCTTAAAATGTGATTACTGTGCTAAAACCTTTAGTCAAAGCATCTCTCTTAAACTGCATCAGAACTCACATACTGGAGAGAGACCTTATGAATGTGGTAATTGTAGAAAAGCCTTCAGACAGATCTCGTCTCTCATTCTTCATCAGAGAGTTCACAATGGGAAGAAAAGCCATGAGTGTGATAAATGTGGGGAAAGTTTCAATAACAAAATAGCCTTTATTCTACATAGAAAAATTCATAATGGAAAGGAAATGTCTAATTGTGGGAAGGGTTTGAGTTCATGCCCATCTCTCAGTGTACATCACAACATCCAAATTGTGGAGAGAGTCTACCAGTGCAGAAAATGTAGGAAAGTCTTTAGTCGGAAGTCATCCCTTTTAGTTCATAAGAGAATTCACAGTACAAAGAAAATACATAAATGCAATAGATGTGGGAGAGGCTTCAAAAAGAAACCAGCCCTTGTTACACATGAAAAAATTCATATTGGAGAGAAACCTCATAAAAGTGTGAAGGCCTTAAGTCAGAGTGTGATGCAGAGAAGTCACCATTTAGAGAATGCCTTTAAATGTGGAAAATGTGGGAAATCCTTTAGTAGGATTTCACCCCTTTTGCTTCATCATAAAATTCACGCTTCAGGTAAACCCTATAAATGTGACAAATGTGAGAAGGACTTTAGGCGCCTTTCAACCCTTATTCTGCATCGAAGGGTTCACAGTGGAAAGAAGCTGTACAGATGCAATAAATGTGAGAAGGTCTGTAATCGGCATTCATCCCTCATTCAACATCAGAAAATTCATAAACGGAAGAAGAAGCTCTTTGAGTGTAAGGAATGTGGAAAGATGTTTTCTGGAACTGCAAACCTTAAAATACATCAGAACATTCATTCTGAAGAGAAACCTTTCAAGTGCAATAAATGTAGTAAAGTTTTTGGTCGCCAGTCATTTCTTATTGAACATCAGAGGATTCATACTGGAGAAAAGCCCTATCAGTGTGAGGAATGTGGGAAAGCGTTCAGCCACCGAATATCCCTAACTCGACACAAGAGGATTCATACTGAAGACAGACCTTATGAATGTGACCAGTGTGGGAAGGCCTTCAGCCAGAGTGCACATCTTGCCCAGCACGAGAGAATCCACACTGGAGAGAAGCCGTACACCTGCAAGACATGTGGGAAGGCCTTCAGTCAGCGCACCTCCCTCATCCTCCATGAAAGAAGTCATACCGGAGAGAAACCCTACGAGTGCAATGAGTGTGGGAAGGCATTTAGCAGTGGCTCAGACCTCATTCGACATCAGAGAAGTCATTCTTCGGAGAAACCCTATGAATGTAGCAAGTGTGGGAAGGCGTATAGTCGGAGCTCGTCCCTGATTCGACATCAAAACACTCATTCTGAAGAAAAGGCCTAATGTTTTAAATCTGTGAAAGCTAAGAATGAGGTTATCAAAGAAGCAGTCACAGGCATGGGGGAAATGTACAGATCTTCTTTAGGGGGTGGGGTTGTGTCCTGAGAAACTCCCCAAGGTTGAAAATATAGTGAATAACACACTTGAAGTACCGAACATCAGAGCTTTGCAACACAGCCCAGTGCAGAGTACCGATCATTCATCATTGCACGGCTGACAGGGAGCTGTGCCCATTACTACCACCCAGCACCATGAAAGAGCATCATACTGCCTGCTGCTAGCCTCGGAAAAGATCACATCCTGAAGTACAGTTTCTACAGAACATATTGCTTCTGCCCCATCATAAAGCCAAAACTCACAGGTTAAGCCTTTGTATATTGAGGTCTGTCTGTACCTGTCTCTAATATAAATTCTGTATATATGGGGTGATATGATGATGTATCCCACTTTGAAAGCCAAAGAACAAAAGTCACTGGTGACTTTTGACCTCTGGATTTGAAACCAACTGAGGAAAGCTCAGGAGAAAGATAAGTCTTTTGAGGATGAAGGCTATTTTTCTTTGATGTTTTATTTCCTAGTGTAGTTTTGAAGAGACTTCACTGGCCACATGCCACACAATGGAATTGTGAAGTCTGGTTTTGTAGATGGGGCGTTGAGCCTGATTTGAGTTCACATGAGTTTGAGTCAGTTCCTCAGAACCAAAACTGTCTCATAAAAGGGAGTTCCTGGCAAAATAGGATGCTGCTTTCACCTGACAGTCTTTAGGGGGATAAAGACAGCACCTGTAATGGTGTGCAGCAGCAGTGTTCACCATACTGTCTTCATGGATTTGAAGACATGGTGTGAAAATTGAATATGTGCAAGACAGGCTAATGGGGAAGAACCATGAGGCAGTGACAAAATGAGGAACTTCAGAGCAGGGAGAAAATTTATATTTGAAAATAAATTGTTTATATTTATAGGACTATATATTGGTATTTTCATGTAATACCGATGTGTAATAAGTGACTTGTGAAATGTGTTGCAGATTAAATGTGTGTGTCACCCCAAAATCACATGCTGAAGCCCTCGCCCTCAATGTGTGATATTTGGAAATGGGGCATCTGAGAAGTATTTAGCATTACTTGAGGGCAAGGCTTCATGATGGGTCATTGCCCTTAGAAGAAGAGATACCAGAGAGCTTACTCTCTGCACCATGCAAGGACATAGGAAGGCAGATGTCTGCACCCAAGGAGACAACCCTCCCTGGAACTGGCCTGGTAGACATTCTGATCTCAGATTTCCAGCCTCTGGAACTGAGAAGTTAATTCTGTTGTTTAAGTCCCCAGTCTGTGGTGTTTTATTACGTCAGCTCAAGTGGACCAAGACACTGGGGAGCCTCTAGGTATATATACTGAGCTCTTTTCATTTCAGCTGTTTACCTGTTTCCAGTGTGTGTAAAACATGTCAGAAATAAAGTCAGAGTTCTGTTTTGTGATTAATTATATAGTCAGGCTTTTCTGTTTGTGTTTTCCTTCTGCAAAAAAAATCTACTTTTATGAATACTTGTATCTTGTTAATACAACTTTGTGGAATGTGGGATCACATGGGTTAGGTTATTTTGACTTTGACAAGTAAAAACAACAACCAGAATTGTGAGGAGTGAACATGCATGCAGCATAACCAACGAAGTTTCCCATTTAAATTCGACCTTTCAGATATGAAAAGTAAGCATTAAAAATAAATCTCCACTTGGAGTAAATGGGTGAGTAAGGGCCTGGGGGAGGCAACAGGAAGCATCTTTTCTCCTCCTGCTTCTGCACACGTGTCCCTGCTCTCCACCTTGTTCTTTCTCCCAGGCTGCCATATGAGTGGTTCCCGATGGAGGGTGGTGTACCTAGAGTGGGGAGGAGCGAGAGGATGACCTGCCCCAGTCACCCACTCCCTTCAGTCTCACTGCCTGTTGGCCTTCTTGCCCTTCATGGAAACTGCAAGAGTGCATCGGGGTGGCAGTTCATTCACTCAGAAGCCGACTTGGGATGGGTTATGAGAACTGCTTATTGTAGCTGCCTTATTGCTGACCCCATCAGAAATCCTCCCTTGATCTTGTGAGGCCTATTCTCACAGTTCTGAGGGCGCCACATAGGCAGTGTGACTTAGGGCTTACCTACCTGTGCTCCCAACTACTAGCAACTCAGTTATTTTCTAAAGGATCAAAACCTTCATTATTTAATTTTTTAGTAATATACATAAGTTTTAGAAGTACATTCAACCTCAAGAAAATCAATATTTGTTTGCTTTAATCCCTAAAACTTAAAATCCTGATAAAATTTGTTTTATTCACTTGCCTGGTATAGAAGAGGCGATTTTGACAGTATTTTTCTTTTTGTTTTTTAAAACTATTATTGTGGTTGTAGATGGACACAGTACCTATATTTTATTTTTACGTGGTGCTGAGGATTGAACCCAGTGGCCCACACGTGTGAGGCAAGCACTTTGTCACTGAGCTGCAACCCCAGCCCAGTATTTTGCTTTTAAGCTGTGCCTATGGACTTTCCATAATCCTTCAGTGACATCATGTCTGCACATTTGTGTGTCGCTGTCCTGGAAACAATTTTTTTTTATTATTTTATTTTTTTCATTCTTTTTTAAAGAGAGAGTAAGAGAGGAGAGAAAGAGAGAGAGAGAGAGAGAGAGAGAGAGAGAGAGTTTTTAATATTTATTTTTTAGTTCTCGGTGGACACAACATCTTTGTTGGTATGTGGTGCTGAGGATCGAACCCGGGCCGCACGCATGCCAGGCGAGCGCGCTACCGCTGAGCCACATCCCCAGCCCCTGTCCTGGAAACAATTACTCCTAAATCCAGGGATGTACGAGCTGGCTAGACATTGTTCCTGCCCACAGGCACCTGCTGATGACCAGAGAATACAGGATGTGAGAAAAGGGAAGTGTGTGCAAGGTGTCAGGCAGAGGGTGATGATCTCCATGGTGGGGAAGGCAGGTAGGCAGACTGCTTCTAGAGATGGTGATGGTATTAAAGGAGGAACAAGGTAGGAGGCCAGAAGAAAAGTATACATGCATAAATAATGCAGGAGAAGTGGAGTGTGGGGGATGCTGCAAACTCCATCACTTAGTACCCCACAGGTGAGTGGTAAGCACTTAATGAAATACTTCACTGAAAATATTCTAGTAGAACTGGACTGTCTCTGAGCATGCCTTAACCTGAAGAGGACCTGGATGCTGAGGTAAACACTTGGGAACTAGCCCTCACCCCAAACTAAGAGTCACGAGTGGTGAACTTCAGGTGACTAGCCACAGCCAACCTGAAGCCTTGCCTGACAGGGAAGGCTTAACAGAACCTCTTTCTATTGCCCTACTCAGGATACTGGACTTCCAGAACAAAACAGTACAGGGCACAAAAAAATGCAAGGAAATACACCTCCCGGTCAGGACAGGAGGCCATCCTTAGAAGTACTGATGGAATTGAAGTTAACAGTGACGTGTTAAATGTTCTAGCAGAAAAAGTGCACAATGGGCAGATATAGATGGGCAATTGAAGCTGAGAGATAATCAAATGGAAATGCAAAGAATGAAAATAATAGATGACAGTGTCTTCAGCAAGTTCATCAATATAACTGAAACTCTGATAAAGAATGAATAAACCCGAAAGTAAGAAATATATGTATATGTCTCCATACTGAAACACAAAGTGTTGCTGGTGTCAAAAGCACCCAACAGCTTCCGGGAAATATCTTTTAGTCCAATAAAATAATTGAAATTCCAGAAGGCATATGGAATATGGGGCAGGAGAAACTCCAGAAATGAGACTAGGAAGTTTCCAAAGTTAATGATCCCAGAATGCCAATGTGAAGCTCAGAGAGCACCAAGAAACAAGTACCAAAAGCACAGACACCAAGGCAAATTATATTCAAACTGCTGGGAAAATCTGATGTAGTCCACTTTGGGGCTGGGCTCAATGGTAGAGCTCTTGCCTAGCATGCGTGAGGCTCTGGGTTTGATTCTCAGTACCGCATACAAATACATAAATAAATATCCATAGACAACTAAAAATATTTATTAAAAAAATCCCACTTAGCACATGCAGAGCACATTCTTTTTTAAGTGCTCACTAAATATTTGCAAGATATCATTAAACATTTAATAAATGCTAGAAAATTATTACAAAGTGTGTTTTTTGTAACAGATAAGCAATAATAACACGAAGAATGCTAGGCATAAATTACAAATTCCATCTCTTTAATAGTCTGAACTGTTCTGCTTATCATGAGTAACCTTTAGTAGTTTGATTCTTTCCAAAAGTTCTCCCATTTTATCTGTTATGAAATTTATTTCTGGAAAGGCCATTATGTGTGTGTGTCTATAATGTATTTGTGTGTCTGTGTGTGTGTCTATATATGTATTTGTGTGTGTGTGTGTGTGTACACATATTTTGCCATTCCTGTTAAGGCTAGAATTTGTCATGTCACCTCTGCTGCTCCATCTATCGGTAGCAGATTTTCTCCCTTTTTTTCTTGGTCAGTCTGAATGAAAGTTCATTGGGTTCATTGACATTCTCATAGAAACAGCTCCTTAAGTTTTCTGTTCTTTGACTTCCATCCTGTTAGTTTGAGATGCCCGGAAGCAATGCAGTTGTCTGGGGACATCCTAGTACTTGTCTTGTGTTCCCGTTTCTCAGGGGTCAGTCTTCCCTTGCGTGATGTCCATTTCAGACTGGATTCTGAACCTCTGCTGCTGCAGTTGCTGGCGGGCGTCCTCTGCAGCAGTGGCAGTCTGTGCTGCAGGGTGCTCTCCGCCAGCAGGACCGTACTCTGAAGCAGTGCAGTGGAGCGAGTCGAGGCAGTGTCGCAGCTCTTGGTGGCAGGAAGATGCCCTCTTGGCATTGCAGCAGACCCAGCCGCACCAGTGATTTCTTTCCAGGTTCTTGTGAATCCAAAGAATGAAACCCACAGACAATGGAAGGCAAGAGTTAAAAGAGGATTTAAGTGAGAAGAAAAACAATTCTTGCCAGGTGAGAGGGGACCTAAGGGTAGATTGTCATCCAGGTGTGCTAGTCTAGGAGTTAATACACTACAAGGTCAGGTGGCCAGTCTGTGCTAAATAGGTGTTAGGAGAGTGCCATGGCTGCTGTCTACATCCAAGCTAAACATGCTGGATGTGGGGAAGCTCTCGGATCAGTCTGGGACTCCCCAACGGTAGTGCCCTCTTTGTCCTTGAGTCTGTAGCCTTCACTCAGGTCGCACCTGCTCTACCCTTTCCGCCAGGAGAGGACCAATGGTTAATCTCATGGGGTGGCCTGTACATTTGGAACAGCCTGTATGGTGATTGTGCTGCCTGCCTGTTTTACTGTCTGTCCTTCTATGCACGATGTCCTGAACACCAACACTCCATATGTTTTGTTCGGTATTTTAAAAGACATTTTCGGTAGGTTAAACCAATCCCTATAACTCTGTCTTTGCTAGTTTAGTTCTTAGATAAGCATTTAGAGAGGAAAGTAGAATCCATTTAACATTCCTGTACATACATATTTTATTTTAAAATAATCTTTTTAAATGTAGATGGACATAATACCTTTATTTTTATGTGGTGCCTCACACGTGCTAGGCCAGCACCCACCACTGATTCGCATCCCCAGCCCCCCCCAACCCTATGCTTTTGTTTGTTTTGCACCAGTGGGTGAATCAGGGATGCTTAACAACTGAGCACATCCCCAGGATTTTTTCTTTTTTTTTTTTACAGGATCTTGCTAAGTTGCTTACAGTCTCACTAAGTTGCTGAGGCTAGCCTCAAACTTGCAATCTTCCTGCCTCAGCCTCCTAAGCCAATGGGATTATAGGTGTGTATCACCACTCCTGGCTTGTACATATGCTTTTGAAAAGCTTTACCCAATATTTTGGAAGACAAATGGAGCAAAGGTAGCCATGCCTTCATAATGTTGGCCACTTGTCTTTCCTAACCAAAGCAGTGTCCATTCAGAGTGAAGCAGAAGGGCCTTCAGAGCAATTCTGTGTGCCTGCCTTCAGCGCTGCCTTCTTATTGCCACCCAGTGAACGGAGCAGCGAGGTTGTTCACGTTTCTTTGTGTAGATTTTTCCATTATGATGCTTTCATCTGACAGCAGAAAGTACCAAAGATGCTGGATGCACTTTTAGTGTGTCCCAAATCATCATTTCTGCACTTTTTTTCTCTTTTGGAGCTGGGCATTGAACCCAGGTCCTGTGTAGAGCAAGACCTCTTCCCTGAGCTCCGTGCCCAGCCCTGCATTACATCAGGGTGCTTAGGATTGACTCCAGGGCTGCTGTGTGCTGAGTAAGCACTCCACCACTGAACACATCCCCAAGCCCCAGCGGTATGAAGTGGTGCCACTCGTAAGTGATTTTTTTTTTCTTTTCATTTTGTTGAGTTTGGGAAATTATCTGTGAATTTGAGTCTCTAACATTCGACATAA